TCATGCTCCCATATTACAAATCTGCCCTCCAGTTCAGATAATCTATCCTTAGTTTCTTTCAAGCTGTTATGCCAGTTTTCAATAGAGTTTTTAGTTTCCTGGTAATCTCTTTGAACCTGCTTCACATATTCTATGTTTTCTCTATTTTTTTCCATCAAACAATTCTCCCCTTTTTTTCTGTTCTTCCATTCCACCATCTGTGTTTTCTTGGCGGTGCTTAGCATTTCTCTAACTATTCTACTTATGTCTTGCTTTATTTCATTAAATACTTCTTTTTGAACTCATCTATGAGGCTCTGGAGATAACGCTTTATGTCTATTGGTGCCGTGTCTGATATTGCATGTTTCTCAGGATTGGGGGCCGAGGACCCTTTCTTGTTGCTCCCTCTTTCCATATTTTTTGTTCCTTTTATAGAAGCGTATATAGGAGGCCCAGTTTCTTTCTTTGTCGGTTACAGTTTGTTTGAATTGCACCGGCTAGGTGTTCCCGCCCACTGCAGTGCACTAGGGAGACACAGACCTGGGCAGCCTATGCTTGGTCCGCCCCTCCAGGTCAACCTAGTGAAGGCTTCACTGCTAGGGTGCACCTCCAGGTGCTGGGACCTGGTTTGGGCTAGCCTACTGGGTCTTAGCGGTGTCACGCAGGCCAGGCACTCCCCACCAATCCCGCTTGAGAGGGGAATATGTGACTGAAGTCACTGCAGCATCCTGCCCCAGCCAGCTCGCCTGGTCTCAAATGTCCTTTGCTGAAGCCTCCTACTCTATGGAAGGGTTCCCCATCCACTCACTCACCACAGGTCGATGCAGGGCTCCCAGCCAGTCCTGCTCTCAACTCCATTCACTGCTTCCCACTCTCAGAGCTTTTGCACCTCTCTCCTTGCCGTTTGGATTGGGATGCAGCAGTGGCTGCAGGAAACTCAAATTGCACCTTCCAGTGGCTCGGGGTCCAGCTTCCACACTGAGACCTTATCTGTTCCTGTTATGTCATCGGGATTGCATTTCCAGTTGGTTTCTCTTAGTTTAGTTCATTCCTGGGTTGGCAAAGTATATCTCCTCTTGCTTAGGATTTCTTGCTCGGCACCATTCCTGGATTTTAAGTGCGGTTTCTCAGAGAGCCTCAGAAGCTGCTGCTATCTATCTGCCATGTTCTCAATTAAAAATAATTTTAAAAGGGCTGGGGATGTAATGTAAAGGCCCTATGGACAATTCCCAGTATCAAAAACAAACAAACAATCTGATGAACTAATCAATTCAATTAAATTCAGAATCTAAGCAAGGAGGTTATTATGTTTTAAAAGTTTTCCAATGATTTGGAAGAAAAGGAAATGTTTAAATCAAAAAAAATGGTTTGAGATTAAACTAGATATTTCTGAGTTCATAAAGCTCTTCAACCCTTCATTGACAGCAATTTTTGTGTAATTATTGACATATGAATTATCTGTATATTTCTTTTTACAACACTAGTAACCTTGAAAAGAGACTAGGTATTAATTTTAATCAGTCACAATGCTTAGCACTGTGATAGTGAATAAATATTTGTTTGCTCCATGCATGTAAGTATTCAAAAGATATCCTTGGCAGCCCTGACCAAGGACAGGAAATATACGTGTACTATATACTATGCATAAATTCACCCAACGAAAGGGAACTGCTCCTCTCTTATGAATCATAAAGCTCTCAATAATAAGCAGCCTGTCCACTGCCTGGGGCTCAGGAAGCCTTGTACCTCCAGGTCATTATCAATAGCCAGTGCTTTCTGAATATCTTCTCCCATTGTTGTCTCCTGAGTGTAGGCTGCTCTTTGGTGGCTTGCTTTGTGGATGGAATGTGACTTGGGAACTTCCAAGGCCATGCTGAATTCTCATAGCAGCCTTCCAGAGCCCTGATCATGGAGTCTTGCTATACCATGTAAGAAGTTCAGCTACTCCAAGCTGTCACACTTAAGAGAACACATGAAGGGGCAAGAAAGCAAAGAGCCCTCCTTCCTGGAGGCACAGGAGAGTAGTGGGCGTGTCAGGAAGAGAACAAGCTCAGCAGCATAAGCACCTGCCTTGCAAGCAGGCAGTCATGAGTTTGATCCCTGGTACCAATAAAAAAAAAGAGAACACATGAAGAGTCCTTGAAATTACATGAAAAGTGAAATGCGTGGCCATTCTCTCAGTATCTCTCAACAAGGACTGTCAAATGATTGAAAGCCATCTTTTTAAAATTTTGAAGATAGTAAAATATAACAAACAAACAAAGAACAAAGCCACTCAAGACAATGCAGTGAAATTGGTATAGACCTTCACAGCAGGATATTGGGATAACAGTAATAGGTACCATAGTGTATCTTGTTATCTTTACAACAGTTGTCCATTCAATTAGGTATAACCAAATAAAACCAAAGACAGAATAGTATAAAATCTATCAAAATAAAATATTGAATAGGGCAAAACAATTAATCAGCTGGGGCTGGAGATTTAGCTCAGCAGCATACGCGTCTGCCTTGCAAGCATGCTGTCATGAGTTCAAACCCTGGTACTGATTTAAAAAAAAAAAAGCAGTGAACAATTAATCAGAATAAATCAAAACAGTGAAAAAATTATTTGCCTTCAAAGAGAAGATAGAAGGGAATCCCTCATATTTTCCATATTGCATCCGGTCGTCCTCCCAAGAGATGCTCAGACCACTGGCCCCAAGTCATCATAGTCAGTTCAACAATACAAGCATTTAGTTGCCTGGTGTGCCTTAGTTGCTATCAACTCTGGCTGTCCTCCACACCACCCAGTTGCTAAGGAAGTGGAGATGACTTGTTTTCTTCCTGACACGCCCACTACTCTCCTGTGCCTCCAGGAAGGAAGCTCTTTGCTTTCTTGCTTTGTCCCCCAAGTTCCAACATGGCTGGATCTGGCGAGACACTGACTTGTTCCTGAAAGCCATCTTTAACCTGTCAAAATATCATTTCAAAAACACCAAGATAATGACCAATCTATAATATAAAGGAATATAAAATGTAAATAATTCATAATAAAATAATATGCATTTCAACATTTTCATGCTGCAAGCAAAACAGAATACAGAATAAAGAAGAATGCACCTGTGTTTAAAAATCACTGGACAGTATAAAACTACAAATGTACGCTGAAGCAGGTGTGCACAGCATACAAAACACTCAAATTCCATGGTGCACTGCACATTTTTATATAGTTTCAAACCAAGTCTTTATCTCCTGATTTTACACATTAGGTACACTTTTAAAAACATTAAAATGTACTAAAACAGCCTCAAAGATGTTCTGTGTTTGGGAGTTCTAAACTGCAGTGAGCTGGAGACAGCATATCCTACTGATATAGGGGAATGAGACTCCCAACCTACTAGACGTCCGTTACAAGTTCCTGTTCTCTAAAATTGAAGAATGAATTTTAGGAACAACAGAAGTTAAGAGCAGAATGTATTCATTGAGACAAAGAAAACTTCTGTCTGAGATAGAGACTGAAGGAGTCCAGAGTGGGTTGCCAGGGACTCTCTTTTCTAGGGACATTTATAGAGCAAAACCATGAAGTGAGGTGAATCTAAGGTGGGGGAAAATGGAAACTCACAAGCTGGACATGAAGTGAGACAGAATTATGGTCAACCAATAAGATTAATTGTTCAGATAAAGTTGATTAAATCTGGGACAAATGGGGACATGCTTAAACAGCAGTGACTCTGTAGGGGGCTGGGATGGTGACTCCTGGCTTCCTCAAGGTGATATATACATATTTAGAATATCAGTTCCTAATGTTTGTACTTAGGGTGTGGTTGCTTTTGTTTTGCTTTCTGTCTTGAGATCTGGCCCAAGGTTACAAGATATCTGGTCTTCTGCACTGGCTCCTTTGAAGGCCCAGCCTTGTCTGACTGCCTATAATATTTCTAACTCACTCAGCTGCCTGTAACACTACCTTAGCTCTTTCATTACATGCAGCATTAAATATGCATGCAGCAGCTACTTTAGGACCCTAAAAAATAAATGGTAGCACATAGACTGAGGAGAAAGGCCAGAATTTGAAAGACTACCATACTGGAGAAAAGTTTTCTGGTTTTGCCCCGTGAGGATACTCTAGACATGGACTTAAGTTAGTCCATTTTATTTTTATTTAATATATATTTGTTTTAAAGAGGGTCTTGCTATGTAGTTCAGGCTGGCTTTGAACTCACTATGTAGTCATGGCTGGCCTAGAACTCATGGTGATCCTCCTGCCTCAGCCTCCTGAGTGCTGGGAGTACAGGTGCCACCACGCCCTGTTTAAGTTAGTCCTAAACCTAGAAATGGGTCCCACTCACAGAAGGAAAGAGCTCCAGGACAATTTCTTCTGGTCCTGGCTATCACTACTTGAAAGGGCATTCCTAATCTCTAGTTTCAGGTGAAATCACTTTTTTTTTTCTTTATTTATCTTTTCTTCTTTTCTCTGCTCTTTTGAGCCCTAGCCTTCAGCTCATTCCAGCCATAGCAGCAGCAGTGGGAGCCCTCAGGGGGACAAGGGAGTCTTGAATCACAGGACCTGGGACTCCAAGAGGGGGCAAAACTCCTTTGCTTTTCCTCTGTTTGTCCTCACAGCTGATGAGCATGGTTCTGAGAAGTATGGGAAGAACTACCAAACAACCACAATACGGAGGCACGCACATGTGTGCAGGGAACTTGGAAGTACCAGGGGCAGGGCAGAAAGGCAGCACCTTGGAGAAGTCCATGAACTTTCTGGAGAAGATGCACAAACATGAATCTGACTTTTTTTTTCCCCTGAAAATTCAACATTTATTTATGAGAAATAGTTTTAGAAAATTAAATTGGAAAAAGATATCTTCAATTTGCTAAAAAGGAAACTTAAAAAAATAAACATTATACAGGTACAATTTAAAAAGTGTTACTAGGCCTTTAGTAAAGGAAGGAAAGCTGAGCTACAACGCCAGTTGTGACCGACGCAACAGCAGTGACCCGCTGGATATTTAAAATTGTTTGGAGTCAACACTTTGATTCCAGCCATGGGTTTGTCAGCATCTACTCCTGCTTTTGCAGTTCAGACCCCAAAAGCTTCAGATCATCAGACAGCATCACCACCTTCAGGATGCCCAATGCATGAAAGGAAGAGTCAAGGCTGTCCAGTAAGTGAGGAACCATCCAGTCCAACTAGTGACAGCAAAACTTACTCTGTGCCTGCCCACCAGGATCCAGCGTACGAGTATGTGGAGTGCTCCTTTACCCGTGCCAGGGCTGATAAGGAGAACCTGGATCCTTCAAACCTGATGCCACCACCTAATCAAACACCAGCCCCAGAGCAGCCGTTTGCTTTGTCTACCATCAGAGAAGAATCATCCATTGCAAGAGCAGACTCGGAGAAAAAGTGGGTCTACCCTTCGGAACAGATGTTCTGGAATGCAATGTTAAGGAAAGGGTGGAGGTGGAAGGATGAGGATATTAGTCAGAAAGATATGTATAACATCATAAAGATTCACAATCAGAATAACGAGCAGGCCTGGAAGGAGATTTTGAAGTGGGAAGCCCTTCATGCTGTGGAGTGTCCTTGTGGTCCCTCATTGATCCGATTCAGAGGGAAAGCAAAGCAGTATTCACCAAGGGCCAGAATTCGTTCCTGGATGGGGTATGAGTCGCCTTTTGACAGGCATGATTGGATCATCGACCGCTGCGGGACGGAAGTTAGATACGTGATCGATTACTACGATGGTGGCGATGTGAACGAGAACTACCAGTTCGCCATCCTGGATGTGCGCCCCGCCTTGGATTCGCTTTCTGCTGTGTGGGACAGAATGAAGGTTGCTTGGTGTCGCTGGACGTCATAACCAATGTTTTGTTTGTGATGGAAAAATATAAACTATTTTTTTCTGAAGGGTACATTATACAATTTCCCTGAGTCCCACTCATGATTTAAGAAGAGTTTGAAATGGGCAGACACATTTCATCGTTTACTTAGTGAGAGGCACCCTCTCCATTAACCTCTGAGTCCTGTTGGCCTTGCACTCCGTAGCAGACCATTTTAAGTTTTCCTCCCGCTTCATTCAGGTGGGCAGCAGTCTTTTGGCTTTCCCTTTAACTTCGCTATTGCTTGTTTAGTTCGTCTAAAAAAGTCTTAACTTCTATAAAAGAACTTTTGAAAAATGTTCAGAGTTGTCTTGTTTTTTTCAGGAATGAGATGTAAAACCTGAAAGTCAGTGCAATGTTCATGAACTTTTTCCTGGTCAAGTATTATAACTGAAACTTAGAAACAAGACATAGTTACACTTTTTAAAAAATGACCAGCAATTCTAAAGCCCCTGCAATGTAGTAGTAGCCCTGAACGAAATGTAAAGGTATATACTGCAAATGTATGCAGCAAGAATAAGCATGTCTCAGCTCTCTAAATTTTCATTAAGTGAGTTTTTCACACTGGACCTTGTTATAGAAATTTAAGCCACCGTGAAGCAGTAATCCACATATTTTGAACACGTATTTTAACTTTAAATTTTTTCTCTTTATTCCTATAATTCTAATTTGTAAGTCTGCTTCCCCAAAACAGGTATCATTGTCCCTGGCATTTGACAGGTCATCCCAACCTGGAGCTCCATTCCTGCCCAGCCGGGGAGCTTTCCTTCCAGTCGGCTGAATCCAAACCCTGAGAGCACGGCTGACGTCAAGAGCCAGAGCTGATCCTTCTGTAAACCATGAGGACATTTGGCTGTGGGTTAAAGTTCACAAGAAGAGTGTTTTTTCTCAAATGTAGAGTATTTTGTTTTTGTTTTAAGGAAGCTCTAAATTTGCTGTTGGAATTCTTTGTTTCAGTAATCCATGGACTGGTTATTCTAATTATAGCAGCATGTTGCAAATGATTGTTTTTTCTTCATTGCTGTTAACATTAAATCTTTCATTTTTCCTGAAAACTAGTGTTAAATTAGTGGATGGAACTGGCAGTCTGAATGATTATCTTGCTGTGGATTTCTCTGTTATGTCAGTTCTGTGTGGGATTTTAAAAAATCAACAATTTTAAGTTGTACGTGTCAAATATTTATATTTTTTAAAAAAAGCTGATAGTTAATGGTTTTGAAAAAAAAGTGTTACTACTTACAGTTAAGAAAAACATAAGGAATCCCTCAATCTTTGTTTCTTTTGACAACTTTACTAGAGACCCTACTCAGGGTAACAAGAGGAGAAAAAGAATAACAGCTGTATCTTGAAACATTATCAGTATCTACACAAAGTATTCCCAAGAATCCATACCTAAACCAATTAAATTGGCAAATGTCACCAGCAAGGTTTCCTGAAACACTTATTGTCCACAAACATGGAAATGCACCCCATGTTACTAGTAACCAAGGACAGGGCTAAAAAATGTTTGGCCCCCAATGAGTTGGACTCCCTGAGGTTTTCTTATCAAATTAAAAATCTTCTCAATGAGTTTGTCTTTACCCTCCTTGCACAGGATTTACAAAGTAAGGATTCTGGCTCCCTGCAGAGTCTCTCAGTTAAGTCTAAACTTCTCAAGTTGATACAATGTAACAACTATAACAGACAGTATCTCTGTATTGTTTTAATTTGTACTTCTCTAATGGCCAGTGATGTTGAACATTTCCTCATATATTTACTGGCCACTTGTATTTGTCCTGTCAAGTATCTATTCCTTTCACTTGTCCATTTTTGATTGGGTCTCATTTGAGGAAACCAACTTTTCTCAGTTCTTTATATATTTTAGATACAGATCTGACTCTTAAACAGCATCCTACAACCTTGGAGAAGTGGATGAGGGGATAGATTGTTGAGTTTAGACCAAGGGTCAGTTTCTGTAAAGGACTAGGAAGTAAATATTTTAGGCTCTGTGGGCCATGCAGTGTGTCTCTTGCCACTTCTCTGTCACTGCAGGGCTAAAGCAGCCAGGGACAGTGTGTATATTATGGGCATGACCACTTGTTTTTGCAAGTCCCACAAATTCAAAATGGTTTTTATGTTTTGAAATTGTTGAAAAATATTAGAAAAAGGCTAGTATTTCATGTCAAGCAAAAGTTATAAAATAATCATATTTCTATGCAAAAAAATATTATTGGAATATAGTTTAAACTGAATATGTCTAAACTGAATGAATACTGCCTGAAATTTCCTACAAAATTAATCCTATGAATATGACCATGGACTGGAATTTTCTACTTCTGTTTCTTGAAAAAAGAATACATTATTATATATGACATTATTATATAAATATATATATATATCATGATATACTAAAAATATATTGCATAATATAACAAAATATATAAATATTAAATATGATATATGTAATAAATTTAAAATTTATATTCTTTGGACATTCTAATCACATTCCTTGGAACATACTTATATTTACATATATTCTTAGAAGACATAATTTACCTTGACTGAAAAATGAGAGAATTGCTAGGATCTTTCCACTTCTAATGTTTGAATTCTATTTTGCTCTACTAGTTTCTATAACTTTCACCTTTTACCTTTCATCCTGTGTCATTACCACATATATTACTTACCTATCTCTCTTCCTCACTCTCCCTCTTTCCCTTGCTTTCTCTGCTCTGAACTATAGCAAAGACAGTACAATTATTTCCTTAAGGCACTGATAAAATCAACTTTAGAACTGCGACCATGAGTTGGAATTTTTATTCTTACCTCTTGGACTGTATAAATATATATATTATATCATATTATATAACATATTACTATATTATTTGTAATATATATTTATTATATGCATTATATTTATAATATAATATATAATAATGCAAAATTTTATAGTATAAAATATTTATTATTCTATTTTCATTCCTCGGGGGCTCCTAATTATATTGCTTGAATGTACATTAAAATACATATTCCTTGGCATATATGTAATGTATATATATATGTATATTTCTTTATATGTATTACATGTATACATACATATATATGTATATTGCTTATTAAACTATATTAGACCTAATCGAACTTGTTCCTCAAAATTTCTTCCTGGTTTGGTATGTAAATGTCAGGGAATATATGTGGTAATGAGACAGAAGATGAAAGGTAAAAGATGAAAGTTATAGAAACTGGTAGAGCAAAATAGAATTCAAGCATCAGAAGTGGAGGAACCCTGTAAGTCTCTCATTTTTACAGTCAAGGAAATGACTCAGAAAGCCTTCCCCGCGGGTTACATTGCATCAGACGCTGTTCTTGTAGACTTTTGACCTCCTTACCTATCTTAGACACTATGTAATATGCAGGCACATTCCCATGGATCCTACCTTACCATTTTCTAGAGTTAGTTTCCATTAGCAGTGTGTTTATTTGTGGCACTTACGGTGGAGTTTCAACTTGACCTACCTTGGGAACTACACTGGGGATTGGTGGGACACACTCCTGGGTGTGTCTGACTGCCTGTCTAGGTTAGGGCAGGTGGCCTTGGGACCTCTGTCTGATCCCTCACCACTTCCACTCTGGCACTCTTCACCTGCTCTGCTCCCTGGTTGTCATGAGCGAAGCAGCTCTGCTCCACCGTGCCCTTCTGCCGTGATGGTTCTGCTTCACAGCCAGTTGGCTGAAACTGTGAGCAAGTTAAACCTCTCCTCTTCTTTAAGCTGTGAGTTGTTCACATTCTCTACTCAGGATGCTTAGTTGCAACCTCCCTAGAAAATCAGAGTCTTTTGGGGGGAGCAGGGCCGGGGCACAGTGTACCAAGCACTCTACCATTAAGCCATACCCCCTAGCTTCAGACTGCATTTTGAAATCATTTTTCCTTTTAGCACTGAAAGAGAAATTCTCTATTGCATGTGCTAACAACTGTGATTAGAAAGAAGTTGTTGACAAGACACCTGCCAGCGGGATACGGCCTTATTTTAAAATCTGCACTGGTCTGAATCTTCAGTCCTTCTTGTAACCTCACAGGCACAAGGAAAGCCGGAGTGATCATGGAATAGAAGTCAAACCCAGAGCATTAGAAATTGTTTTGTAACTTACTTACTTTCTTTCCTTTCTTTATTTTTTTGGATTTATTTGCATCTTCATTTTGCAATCTGTCATTAGGTTTCTCAGTTTTTGCCTTAGAGAAAAAGAAGGGCAAGCAAAAGAAGTGTTGGGCTTGAAGGGCTTGAAGGGCTTCTTTTCCTCCAATAGACTTATCACCTAGCACATGTCATGTTATCAGGGCGGGGCCACCATCATCCTGTCGAGGGAAGAGAGCCAAATGGAGTTGGACTCCAGAACCCACATCAACACCAAGAATAAATCCTTCACACTTTTTAGATTCTGGCTTAACATTTCAAGTTTTGGGCCAGGCATGGCATCTTACGCCTGTTATCCCAGCACTAAAGAGGTAAGGCAGAAAGATTCCCGAGCAGTCTGAGATAGCTTGGATTACACGGGGAGACCCATTTTGTAATTTTCATTTGGTCAAAACATACTCTTTCTCTGCATGAATTAAAAGGAGGCTCAGGGCTGGAGTTGCACTGATGGCCACCTGCTAACCCGTCTGGTGGGCAACACCAGCCGCAGCCACCAACCTGGCTTGGCCTTGGCTCTTTAGAGGACAAGAGAAACTGGCAGCTGCCAAAGGACAGGCAGAGAGGGAGAGGCATTTCTATCAGGATAATACAGCCTGTCAGTTCCAGCAGGGGACCTGGTGCTCTTTTCCCAGGATGCAAGGGGCAGGGGCGGGGGGGGGGGCGCGAACCAACCAAAGAGGAGAGGGGAGGGGAGACAGCCAAGAATTCTTAATTACACCCAATTAGAGCAGAAGTTGGAGGAGTTTGGTGTCGATGTCGCTCCCGGCCGGCAGGAAGGACACACGACAAAGTCTGGCAGTGGACAACCTTTTTTTTAATTTTTTCTCCGTACAGCCTGCCCTGGGATCGCTCCCAGCCGAAGCCTCTACCGGTCCGCTCTCTGCGGCTCCTTCCGGGCTTCGCTCCGAAGCCTCTACCGGTCCGCTCTCTGCGGCTCCTTCCGGGCTTCGCTCCGAAGCCTCTACCGGTCCGCTCTCCGCGGCTCCTTCCGGGCTTCTACTTCCCCCCAGGGGTGGCACCAGTATATATACGGATACAGTGTCCAATCATATTAAAGTAAGCAAGGCAAGCTGATTGGCTAACATA